ATAACTTGCAAGTGGGGGAAAAGGAAAAAGAGCCCAAAAATCATACTAGGCTTTAAGTTCTGAGCAACAGTTTTCAAAACAAACTTATAAGAATCTTTCAAGAATGCTCTAAGTATTTGAGTTATGGGGTGCGTTTTGGAAAAAAAAAGCAAAATCTTGTAAAGTTTTTTTTTTAATTTTGCAGTCCCAAATTTTTACTAAGAGACAAATAACATATGTTATCGAGCAAAATCTGGCATTGCATTTTTTTAGATCATGTTATCGAATAAATTAATTATATTAAAGTAAGTGAGCTTTAGAAAACGTTCTGATTACTTGCACAAACAATTTTCTCAAGTTACAACTCTATTCCACCTATTTTTGTAAATAAAAACTCAGGTAACATTGTAAAATATCATAATTGACATGCACTCGTGCAACTTACGCGCGTGTTTCTTGCATTGAACGATACAGATTTCAGCAATCTCCGGTGCGATATTTTTTAAGGTGCCTGCTAGATGCTATCAGAAACTATAGATTACTAAAATACTGAAAACGGAAAACTGGAAAACTACTCAAAGAAAAAACTTTTTGCCTTCAGTGCTTTTCATTTCAGCTACTCTTATAATTTTTTTCGGTCAAACGTTTTCATGATGAAACATTAGAATAGTATAAATTATGATTATACAGACTCATTTATCAATCTGTAGTTTTATGCACTGAATCTTCGATGAAGCAATGACAATTTTTTACTGCAAAAAATTTTTCATCAAACAACACTACAACATCTGTGAAAGTTTTCATGGAAATGATTTATCAAGAAATGAGCTTTGACGGCCATGGCTTTTTCACATTTTTTGCTTTTATCCTACTTATGAGAAATTTAAAATTTTTTCCATTTGCGATCACCACAGTTGCAAAAAACACTGTTTGATAATTTGACTGTCTTCTGTTATATCCTACCATAATTCAAAATCCTAGCGCAGTGAGGCAATACGACTTTGCTACTCTGAATGATTAACGGTAGATAATGCTCGATGATTTTTGAAGAGTATTTAGCTGTTCTTGTTTCATGTTCATTTTTGAGGTTCAAATTGTTTTTAATGCTTTGAAAATTTAGTTGGACTCTTTCATTACTTGCAATAATTCTACAAAAATTTTGAAATGGTTAAATTTTCGATCGAATACATTTGGATCTTTATATGCATTGAAACCTTTACAGGAAAGTCTCGCTGCCCGGGTCGAGTTCCTCGATTTATGATTCAAATTTCTCGACCAAAAATTGCTATGTTTTGGTCATCTCGACAAAAATTTGGTTTGTTTTGACTTTCTCGGCCAAATTTTTTTTGTATGCTTAGACTTTTTCGGCCAAATTTTGGTACTTTCAGAATTCTCGACCCGACAAAAAAAATTTTGACTTTTTTTTACCCAATTCAGATATGATTTCACTATCTCAGTTGTCTCTACCGACAATTTTAAAAAGTTAGTTTGTTCGATCCCGAGTAGATTTGTTCCGAATTTTTCGACTGTCTCCAATGTCTTGACATAGGTTTCGACTTTCTCGACCGAAATGTTTCAACTGTGTTGGACCAATGCTTTGACTGCACCCGACCTTTGTTCCGACTGTGGTTGGGCTATGTTTCAACTTTCTCGACCAAAAGTGCATATGGTTTAACTGAGCTCGTCCTATGTTTCGTTTTTCTCGACTTTGTAGATTATCAGTTATTGTGAATTAATTGACTAAATTTTTACTGTACGCTCTTCAGTAGATTTTTTCCCATGATTATGAAACTGAAAATAAACGATAAGAATCAGCAAAACGCCAAACTTTTGCATCGAACACTAATTTTTACAAAATGAGTCATCCAATTTGCTTTCATTTTGTTAACAAGTCTGGACTGAAACTGTTGATCTGAAAACTTGTATTTGAGAAAACTTTTGTATATTTTTTTTGCCGCAGGAACTCTTAGATCTCGAAAATTAAAACGTGTTTCTCCTAAAGTTTAATTTTGCGGCATGCAAATCTCTTCAAATGATTGTTGGTGATTGCACTTTTCTGACGGAGATTTTTTGAGCCGTTTTTTCTCAGTTTCCATACCAAAAATTAAGTTGAAACATTTCAGGTTGGGTTCGACCTATATTTTGACAGTGCTCGACCTAAAATTTGATTTTCTCGACCAAAATAGTTTTTCTTTCGGCCATGTTTGACCTACCAAAATTGCGTGTAATGTTTGCAAACGAGAAGATCGATTGGAGACTTTTTTCTTTTCCCCGCGGCCAGGATTACATTGGAGCTGTCAATGGGGATGTTTTTCTCCTAAATCCTTCCAAAGCAATATTTTCAGCTGTTATCAGCTTTTATTTTTTGCTGGCTCCCCTATGTCAAAATTAGATCTCTATGTAGATACTAGATCTCTAAAAATCTGAAGCAATCTCATAGAACATTAGATTAGAAATAACAAACAAGTTTTCTGTTAACACAGTTTCCTAATAAAACATAAAGATTTACTAGATTATATTAATGAAAAGAACTACGGGCAAAAAGCAAGCACAACTCATTCATACAAAATAGTTGAGAAAATAAGTTTTCTGTTTTCAAAGTCGATTAAACTTCTCTTCGCATATAATTTGTGATTACACTTGCAATCTTTCTTCTGTGCTTTTGTTCTTTGCTTCACTTGTCAACAACTCAAAAACCCGTTATTTTTGAAAATTGTCTTATGATGGTTGTAGTTTTTTCATCTTCAATTTGATCAGTAATTGTTTTTCTGTTTTAATCGGCTTTGAAAAGTTTTGGCTAAAATATATCGGCTTTGTGGCTTCTTAACGCCCTGTATGAGCAAATAAATTTTTTAGTGTTTGTGTGTGTGTGTGTGTGTGTTTGTTTTGAGGAAATTCAAATTTTTTCGTGATTCACGATATTTTAATAAAACCATTCTCTTTTGGTTTAGCAGATGTCTCTTCAAGTGTTGAGGTTGAGTGACTACCACGTAACTCTTTGTTTCAATGCTTGTTTAACCTTTGCTTGTCCTATTCAACGAATTTTCGCAATTTTTTTTTTGCGATTTTCGACATTTGTTTTTGCTTTTTTGACCGCCCTTTTTGTTAAATTTGAGCCCACTTACTTGCATGGAATTGCAAGTAGTAAATTGTTCTGCTCTGCATATCTGTAAAAATTTGTTTTTTTTTTGCTTAACACTAAAATTCTATTTTTTTCTAATTTCTTTCTTTTGTTTAACTTTTTTAATTTAAACTTTATTTTACAAAATGTTAACGTTTTTTTATGGTTAAAGCAGTTTAATTGATTTGCGTTTGCTTTGAATTTTTTTGAGACTTGCTAGTTTTGATTTAAGAATAAAAGTTTTCCACGATAATTCGAAACTCCTATTGGAAATGAGGAAACTCATTTCCAATAGCAAATTGCTGTGCTCAAAGCTGAAAGACTGTGGGTGAATAAGTTTGCTCTTTAAATACAGATAAATGATGAACAACCCAAGAAAAGTTGTTCGGTGAAGTTTTTGCTTCAAAAATGTTTATCACAACAAAATCCTTCGGAAACATCGAGTTTGATTGGTCTTTCTTCTAGTTTCTGCAAATTTCTCGCACGTACTTAACCGAAAACCACATCAAAGATTGCTGAAATAAATCATTCTGAGGACATAACTTTACTGCTAGTTATTTTTTATGAAACTGAAATTTGAAGAAAACCTAAAAAGTGTAATTTCTGATGTATTACGTATTTTACTATTTCAGTAAATTTTCCACGTGCGTGATGGAAAGGCAGTTCTTTGAAGAGTATTAAAATGTTCTTGCAAGAAGTACACTCTGAAAAAAGAACAACGTAGAAAACTAAAACTTTAGACACACACCGTACGACCTTCAATTATATAGAAATCTGTTTGCATTGAAATTAATTAAAAAGTTAAGTTTATAAAGCAAGAAGCCAAGAAAAGTACGAAACTTTTAAGAGATCTTTGCTATAAAAAATCAAAAATACCAAACTAAGCTGAAGACATCTTCCTGAAGACATTCTTACATTTTCCTAAATTTTCCGATATAAAAAGTTCCGAACGAAAATCTAATGAGAATCTTGGCGCGAAATTTTTGCAATCTTTGCCTCTGCAGAAGCAAAAAAAATGCTAAGCAATTGAGAGTAGTAACATATTGCACCCTCTTTAAAAAGATTCGAAAAGAAAACGCAATGTCAAAAAACACGGTCTCTGTAATTATTCCGACATTCGTAGTGGTAGTAACAAAATATTTGTGCTCGGGGTGGGTTTTTTTCTTCAGACAAGTTTCGAATTTTTATCTAGCCAATTTTGACGGAAGTTTTTGTATCATTCAAAAGGAATTGTTGTCTTGAGCTTAAATTTGAAAAAAATATTTCACCTAGGATCGTTTTTCTTTTACCTGTAGTGTTCTTATAGCGGTTTCAAAATTGACAGTTTGACAACGGAGTTTGATAGCCCGTGCTATGTTTCCATAAAAGAGGCACAGGTGACGAGCTGATTCGTCTGAAGGGTTATTACAAATTGGAATCGGACAAGCTAAATAGGCTAAATTAGTCGTCACTAATTGACAACTGAATCACTTTCTACTTGAAGTTAAACAGGGGAAGAAGGAGGCGACAAAGTTTTTTTTTTAAAAAAATTGCGATTTTCTTTGATTTTTAATTGTTTTTTTTTGGCAAAAGCCGCATCAGATACTTTACAGGGAAGTCAGAACATTCAGGGTTTCATATTATATTCTGTTCCATAATACGTTTTAATTACTGCGATCGGCGCATCTACCGATAACTTCTGTTCCTGTATATGAAGAAACTTTTTGTTCTGAAACGTTTTTTTCTGCGATTTTTTCAGAAAGAGCTCCTAAATTACTGTGCAAACGTAGAATTGTTATCTTTGTAAATACAAAGATATGTATAGACTATATCAGCTAATTTGAAGACGCAACATTTTAACACCATTATTTGACATCCTTTTGCAGGAGCTTCACTGTTCAAATATTTGCACAATCGAGCAGCGCTGTTTGAGGTTTCATTCAGCACAGCTACTATTCACCATTTCCTTTTCCTTTGTTATATTTTCATTCCACAAATCTTTTATCCTCAGTTTTTGTAGTTTTTAAACACAGATACGTCTTTTGTGTTATATGTTTTTTTTTGTAGTGTGTGCAGAAACTGCTGTTAAATATGCTATTATCTTATGGAAGTTATGACGTGGATTTTTGGTGCCTAAACAAAATGCTGGAAATTTCTGGTAAGAAAAATTTCTTATAATGAAAAAATAATGTAAATGTATTTTTTATTTTGAGACGGAAGTCGTACAAACGAAAAATGATATTATCTGTAATCGATTTTATATCTAATCTTCCGAAAGTCGAAAGTTTTAATTGATTTTTTTCAAGACGATATTAACGTGTTGTGCTAAATGAATCTAGATGATTAAGATTAAAACAACAGCGTTTTCAGTTTGATTAGATTTTAAAAAATCAGCTGATACCAAGAAGTTTTGAAGATCTAATCTAATCGAGAGGGGTGTTTTTAATGTACTTTGGTAAACTCAAAATGCTGTTGTTTTCATCTTAACCGTTCAGACAAACTTTAGAGGGGTGTTCACCCTTTAAAGCTAGCAAACCATTTGAGCATCAACAAACAGTTTCTGTAACAGTAAAAACTCGAAAGCTGACAGTTTTAAAACTGAGCTGTAACTATAAAACTTGTCGATTTTTCGATGTTTCGTTTTGGTGAGTATAGTTTTGCAAACTGTTTTTTGCTATTCAAAAACGAACTCTCGTAGTGTACTTATATTATAACTTATTAAAGACTGACCGAGTATACAAAGTCGGCCAATGATTTCTATAGTGCAAAAGAAAACAAAAGCATTTGTACCATTCGCTAGCGTTCAATTCGTAGTTTTTCGTTGTCTGAAAATAAAATCTTTTGAATCATCAATCAAAAACAAGAACTTGTCTGCATCATGGAAAAAATATCCGGTAAAGGAAGCTCAAAAAAGAAAGGTAATTGTTTATTCAAAACTATTTTAAAATTATTTCAAAACTATTTCACAACCAATTCAAAATGTCTACAATAGTATACATATGAGAAATTGTATCATGCCCTTTCTTGGAGAAATCGAAAATATGATTTCTCGATCGTTTTTTTTTCTCAAAATTTTCATTTCAAGGATTTATTAAAAATTAACTATGCAAAGATCAGAGACAATAAGAAGCTTGTTTGCAATATCTCAGCTCATAAAATTTCATTACGAGCCCGAATTGTGTATTTTGTGAGTTTTGAGCGGATTCCGCAAGAGGCTGAAAACCGATTTGTCGCAGAACCCGTAACATGACTTTTTTCTAAGCGCGTTTAAATATGGGCTTGAAACAGGAATCCAGTTACCTAAAATACTTCCTCAACTCCGCTAGATCCAACAATTTCCAAAAATCTAGATTCTGAAAAAGAGTTTATGTTTCCAGGAGCGTCCCAGAACAGTGTGAACCAACACGATGACCTCGAGTGGGACCCCTACTGTTTGGGATCAATCGAGGACCACGAAAGGTCACTGGACTCGCTCATCTACTCCAGTCAGCCAGCAGCTTTGACCTTGAAACGGACTCTTCAGTTTCTCAAAGTTGTGGACGAAAATGCAGTCAGGTCTGAACAACTCAGGGAAAAGTATGAACGGAAGGAAAGATATGACGAGATATTTCACGCTGAAGTCGTGAAGTTAGAGGAATTCATGGAGAGCAGTCGAATAAATGATGATGATGGCAACGAAATCGAGCTTGCGGGGGACACTTTCAAAGAAGTTAAAGCAAAAATTATCAGTAAGAAAACATTTGCATATAATTTTTGTAGTTAAGATTTCTTTCCACAATTCTTTAGGCAAAAAATAAAGCAAAAACATAAACAGTAGCAGACTTAGGGATGAGGACGGACGCCCCCCGCCGCCCCTCAGGGAACTGACCTCCTGATTACCCAAAGGTACTGTTTTTATGTTTTTAGACCTCCATTTTGGCTGGCCTACCCATAAATTTCTTTAAAAAACATCTTCGGCGCCAATGTATACTAATTTTGAGGAAGGAGCGCATGCCAAAAAAACGCAATTTTTTTTTTGGTCAAAAATGTCCCAAAAGTGCCTAAAAACGCCTTTTAGGCCTGTTTTGTTTTTCAACAATTTGCTTGCGGCGCACAAAATTTGGCCAAAATAGGGTCTTTTAAATAGGATCTCGGAAAATCAATTTGGCTTAAAAAAGGTCAATTTTTTTTTGAAAATCTTCCCTCTATAAAATATTTCAAATCTGCCTTATATGCAGTATATCAAGATAGAAATTAATTAAAATAATCAGAAGTTTGGATAGTTAAAGAATTGTAGGATTGTTTCCTAAAATTAAGTCCAATCATCAATTGCAAACCTTTTTTTTGCTTAGAAATATCGACAAATTGGAACCTTCTCAAGACAAAATTCAATTTGGAAGCCAAGAAACGAGCCTTCATTCAGAAAGACATTTCCAGCAAGATAATTGTGTGGAAAATATCCAAATTCATCGAGCACGTAGACACTTATGCGTCGCGTCATTTCTTTCCGCAATCGGAAATGGATTTCAAGTCCGAACATTTGGAATCCATATCGCAGAAAAATTTGGTTAGATGATTTTTTTTAACCAATATTGCATTGAACATTAGATAAAAAAATTGAGTATGATTTCAGTTTTGCAAACAAAATTATCGAAGGAACAAAAACTATTTATTTTGAAAAACTACTAAAATAATAACGGGATTAATTTGCAAAAAATTAAAGGATTTTCAAAAAGTTAATGGATTTGCAAAAAATTAAGGGATTTGCGAAAAATTTTGCATAAAAATTAGGGAAAATTAAGGGATTTGCGAAAACATTTAGATAAAAATTAGGGGATTTTAAGAGCAAACATTTTTTTGTAGGAATCAGTGCAAGAAATGGCGGAAGATTTCTTCAGTTTTCAATCTGTGGTGCACTATGCTGAGTCTAGTCACGTGCTGGGCAGACACCAGACACATCAGATCCACACTTCAGCCGCAGAGAAAGTGCACCAGGTGCTGGACAACATGAAACTATTCCAGACTCAATTGGAGGTACGTTCTTGAAAGTTTTAAGAACTTAGTAATTGTTATTTAGTATAAATAATAAATTAGATTAATTTGATCAGTTAAGTTTGTATCAATTGCTTCTAAATAAAAGTCTAAATACTGTTTTTTCAATAAAAAATTGATCTTGGTATGTTTTGACACATTGGTAATATTGGTGTCTGAAATAAATTGCTCGCCATCAGTTTTTGCCAGAATTTTTGGCTATTCGATGAAGACTTCTAATATTTACAAAAATGACACAAAAATATCATTGAAGTGGTCTAGCGAGCTTAAGTCCTCTCTTGCCATAAAAAAATTGGTGTAACCATATTGTTCTTTAAGCCAGGGGCGGGTTTCTTCAAAGGTTTTAATTTTCAAATAAAATGTCGGCCTTTTTTTAGATTGACCAAAATGACTTTAGGATCTCTCCAAGAACAAAATAAGACCCTATTTTGCACAAAAACTCTTCGCGACGCAGGTAGTTTTTGATTAAATAGGTCAAAGTTTTGTTGTTGGAAAATATTTTAGCGCGCGCAAAATACTACCAAAAGAGGTACCTTTTAGGTTAAAAGGGGGTCGAATTTCATAACTAAAATTAGTAGCAGTTCTCATCTGCATTCGCTTTATCTTTCATTAGGTCCAGTTTTTGAGAAAAGTAAGCCAGAGCGAGCAACAATTCGATCCATCCAGAAAACGCAGTCAAGATTCGGAGTGTGAAAACGAACTCAAAAAAGATTTCGAAGACAAGAATGACGTAACAAATAAAAGGGAAATTACCGATGCTCAAATCGAAGAACATTTCACACTCACGACTTCCTTGAGAAGGAATATTTGCAGAGTTCAAAAAAGGCGCGACGACAGAGTGAAGGGACAAGCCGAGACTCGAATTCTGGGGGCAGTTGAACTGAATAAAACTGGAAATGGCAGAAAGAAACAGTCGGCAGCTAAGGTATATTTAATTCAAAATTCGATTTTTTTGTGTCGAAAAATCAAAGTAAATTTTCATATCATCTCACAAACAAATTAGGGGGGAAAACTTTAAGTTGAATTTGAAATTTGACAAAAACTTCCTGTAATGTTACAACATGAGTATTTATTTGTGCATTTCATGCAATTTTGCTTCCCGCACTGACAAAATTGGAAATTTAGATCGATTTGGATCATTTTAGGTCGATTTAAATCGATCTTAAATCTAAGCTAAAAACATTCCATCCCAATCGATTTCATATCAATTCAAATTGATTTAAAACTTAGATAACAAAATTGACACAAATCGATTTTAAATCAATTTAAATCAATTTTCAAATTTTATTTTTTTTCTACTTTATTGTAAACAGTTCCAATCAAGTATGGTAGTTTGGTCGCTAAAATTTAGACTAGAGGTTTGTTCTGTTACACGGCACAAAATTTTTAATCTATTACTTTCAAAACTTGATCATATTCCGTGATTCTGATCGATTGATAAAAGACAAAATTAGAAGAACAGATTTAGTGACCCTAACTAAGTTATAAAAAATTTCAATAGGCCCTAAATTTGTTCGGAAACGAACAAAGTTGCACAAGTTGCATGAGTTCCAGCTCTGATTCATATCTGACATAACTTTGATTTATACTGACAACTTTTCTGGTTTGCTACAAAAGTTTCTGCCCAATATCTGATTTTTTTATATATACTTTGTTAATAACCTTGATAATTTTTCAAAATTTTAATGCAGTTTTTTGAGCTCTGTTTGATTTATTTTGACCTTTTTTTAAATTTTACATGGGTTTTTACCCAAAATCTGTTTCACAATGATGACTTTCTTTTATTTTTTTTGTATATTTTGAACTCAAAACCTGAACTAATTTTTAAATTTCTTACATAGGTTTTGCCCAATATCTGATTTTCTTTGATAATTTTTGTAAAATTCCTGGCATATTTTTGAGCTCAAAAGTTCCCTTATTTTGACCCCCTTTTTGTTTGTTACAAAAACTTTTGCCCATAATCTGATTTAAAAAGATGATTTTCTATAATTTCATTATATATTTTTGAGCTCAAAATCTGATTTATGTGGATCACTTTCCTGAATTCTGAAATATCTGTCACGTATATTTTTATTTGAAAATTTAAGAAAACGTATATTCCATTTCTTAAATAGCATTTTTCTTGTCGTGTTTTCAACAGATTGATCTCAATTGATTTGAAGTGAATTTTTTAGACACCTAAATGGGTCTGTTCAGGGGTCTTTTAGAAGGGATTGAACTGGATGTAAGCAAGATTCAGATGGATTTAAGTGAGTCGGAAAATCCATCTAAATTGATGTAAATCAATGTTTTAGACATTTAAATCGATTTAAATTTTTCAAGAAAAATCCAATTAAATCATTCTAAAATCCATTTCAATTCGTAAAATGTACATTGCTAATTAATTTGGATCAAATTAAAATATATTTTTTTCAATCAATCCGAAATCAATCTCGTCAGTGAGGTTGGCTTACAGAATTTTAGATTTAAACTTTTCTTAAGTGTGATATGAAGTTTCTTTCATCATTATTTCACCCAGTAACATCCAAAACTAGCAAACCGGTTTGTTTTAGGCGCCCAAGTCTGGTAAACCAAAACCCGAAGATGTTCTTCCTTCGCACACCAAACTAAATCTGAACCATTACCCAGCCCACCTGCTAATAACGCTCCACGCCATCGCCGATCACATCGAAGAAACTCAGCAAGTCATAGGGTATCTGGAAACAGAAGTTGCCAAAGATTTTTTTCCAAAAAACGATTCTTGGTTCGGAAAAGTCACAGAAACTTGCAGTCGATACTCAATGCTTATAGTTTGCGTCGCCTTGCCTCTTTTTTGCGTGATCGGTTCAATTTATTTAATAAGCCATGGTGTTAGTAATAAACTTATATGCATAAATCACCCTAATGATTTGTTACCATGTTAATAGAAATTGTACAAAGTAGAAATGAAATAAAAACTCATTAGTGTTTCTGTTTTTTAAACAGTTAGATTGCTCGTATATCATAGCCAACGCCCTGAGTTTCCGACTATGCCCTTTAACGTCGAAGTAGTTTTTAGTTCTTGTAGCGTTTTTTGCCACATGCCTATTTCGGTGTCACGTAATCCAAAATTTCATAAAAAAATGGCATGTGCGTGCACTACTTATTGTTTCGACTTGCGTAACGAAAGTAACGGAGTATTTGTGCTCGGGTTGGTTTTTTTTTAATCAGGCAAAGTTCGAATTTTTAACTAGCCATTTTTGAGGCAATTTTTTTATACCAATCAAAAGTTATTGTTGCCCTGAGCTTAACCTTGAAAAGTTATTTCACCTGTTATAATTTTTCCTCAAGTCATTATGAGGCCAAACTGTGCAATTTGTGAAATGTAAGCTGATTCCGCTACAGGCAAAAATCAGATGTGTCCCTGAATCCACAAAGTTGCTATTTTTCTTTGCTCTTCTCTGCTGTTTTGGATTCCACGGATAAATAGCTAAAATACTTTGTCAAAATAGCTCCAAATTGCTCCAAAAACAGGCAACTTTGTGGAATCAGCAACAAAATGTGCGGAATCTGGAACAAGTTAGTGGAATCCACCAACAAATAATAATATGTATGCTTAGTAAACTTAAGTTGTCGCGGAATCTGCAATTGTAACTGGAATCCGCAAAGTGTAAGCGGAATCCCCATAAATTTGCGGAATTCACTTACATATGAGGAACCCACTTACATTTGCGGAATCCGGAACAAGTACCCATATTTGCTCGTTGCGGAATCCGCAACAAAATCAATGAGCCGACAAAATTTGCGTTAAAGGTATTTGTACGCGCGATCCACTGAAATTTTATAACGGAAATCCACTTACATTTTGGAACATGTTCTAAGACTTGTCTCTGGAATCCAAAAAAAATAGACACAAAATTGTGCGCCTATCTAGTGCACAGTTTGGCCTCGTAATGGCAATGGGAGTTTCAGGATAGCCATTTTGACCAATTTGAGATAATTAACACGCGATATGTAAACGCGTAATCGGGTTATAACCGCTTAAGCGGAGTTTTAATTTCTCATGATAACCGTTTCAAATTGGTTGAAATTGACTATTTGTCATATTTTCTATGCTAATGAGGAGCGAAATCTATCACTTTGTCTATCCAGAAAAAAACTATATTGGTCAAACTTGGACTGTTGCAATCGTTTTTTACGTTTCACACAGACTTTCAATGAAAAATCAGAAATAATTCACAAACAATCATCGGAGAGAGGTGAATGGTATATCATTTTAAAGCCCTTTTGGTCGTGTTTTGAATATTTTAAAGAAATTTTTAACAAAACATTCCCGGTGTCGAGAAAAGTCGTATGAAATTTTAAAATTTTTCAACCAACTTCGAGTGAGCGAGCAGGCTTACAGTAATTTATTTTAATAGCTTAACAGCTATTTTTGCTAAACTTCAGCAAAAACCTCAAAAAACCAGAAAACTGCAAAAAAAACATAATAGTGATTCAAGGAGCACGTCAGTGGCTGAATTTCGCCCAAATCATCTCAGATAGAAGTAACGCATATGGTAAAATTCAGAAAAATAGGGCAAGTTTTTAGTTCGGCACGATGAAAAAATGTTTTTACAGAACATATGATGTGACCTGACCTTATATAGTGATGAATCTGGAGGTCTACCAGGATTTTGGCTCGACTTTCAGTGGGAGCGAGCGGGGTCTTCATCTACATTTCGTTGGTTTATTTGATTATTTTAAGGCAAATCAATACTTGATTATCTCAATAACACTAGGAAGCTCAGCTTTCTCCTGAGTCGCAAAGAATTTCCTGTAGAAAACACAAATATCTTAATTTTCACCGGTTTTTCTTATCAGCTCTGAGATTCCGCGATGACATGCTTGTGTAAAAATATACATTATTAGCTCAAATAGTTTTTGTTATTAGATTTTTTTAAATCGGAAAAATGCTAGTCATACGGTTCCCATTTATGGCCATACTTTTTCATTATAGGAAAATGCTAGTCATACAAATCCATAGTACGGAAAAAATGCTAGTTATAGAGTTCTTATACACTTTTTTTCAATGTATGATTTGTATGGGAAACTGTGTGGGAGTTGTATGATTAATTTCGAAAACCTATTTTACAAAAAAATGACCATAGGCGGAATATCTTTTTAATTAATAATTAGGAAAGTCATGAGCTTTCAGAATATAATGGTTCCGTTTAAAAACTACTAGTTAAAAAAGTCAAAACTAATCTAGAGAGGAAACCATATCGAGTACAAACACGACTTCGAAAGTCGGAAGAACAAGACTGCTTGATTGCTACTATAACCGCCTTTCGTTTCCTTAAAAAACGTTTCAATATCCCAAATTGAGTCATAGCAGTCATAGCAGTCCCCAAGGTATTGCAAAAAAGTTCAGCAGGTGGAAAATTTGTTAAAGTTGGAAAATTATTTGACCTCAATAAACAATTTCTATATGATTATCATAAAAAACTCATAATGGCTGGTCAAAAGCAAATTTTTTTCTAAAAAACATTAAGCATGCTGTCACTTGCTTCGGAAGTTGGAAAAAAGCGATTTTGGTTTGACTGAAAATTTAAAAATTTGTGAGCACAGGTGAAATTAAGGGAAGGTTGGACGCACTCATTTAATCAATAAATCGTTAACTAACCGGAGACTACCCCATTTCCTAGCTTCCATTGCTGGCTTTTTAACTAAACGAGTAGATTTTAAAACAAAAAATGCCTTAGCATTGAACGAAGAATTGTATTTTATGTGTTGTGAGTTTTTCATTTTGTTTGATCCAATGAACTTTGGTAGTGATTAGATACCTGCCAACTATGTTACTTATCGACCATTGGTCGATCATTTCACTGTTCGTAGCTGTTTTAGAACAGACATTCTAATTGACAATTAATCTTTCTTATTTTTTTAATTCCTAGTTAGTGTACTTAACTTGTATATATTCAGGGTCAGTATTAGAGAAATTTCATATGGCGCAGTCGAGCGAATCGAATCTGCGGGGAATTCCTGCATTCTGGCCAAACCACACCATGGAGCCATCACATTCCTGAACCCACTGGAGCGACCAATTTCAATTGGCCATTATAGCGAAGGAGAACCTGGACATCGACAATTTGAGTGGACCAGAGGTACCAGAAAACCGGATTCCAATCATCGATCAGTAAACAGGAAGTGAGTCGGAAAATGAACAAGCCAGTCGGCAGGCAAGAAATAGGACTGCAATGAAGTCGTACGAAGCCGCCGAAGAGAAGAGAAAAAATGAAAGAAAAAAATTCTGAGTGTTGAGAAAAGCAGAAACCCACAAAAAGTTGATTTTAATTCTTATTTCTAGCTCTCGGAAATGAAGGGAAAAAGTGTATTTTCTCAGAAAAAGCCTGGAGTAAAATATCCATCTATCTCTTTTAGAGATTTTTGGAACCTCTTGAACCTAACTCTTAACAAACCTTCAAACGTTACATTTGAGAGGTACAAACTGTTAAATCAGAAACAAAGAGAGCATTGAACAATTCTGTGGAGCACTGGCGGACCTAGCTAGCACGTATAGAATTAGAGACACTGACGAAGCAGAGTGGATCAGTAATGTATTTATCTGCAATACGAGAAAAAACGAGACCCAACGAAAACTACTATCCGCAACCATCAGTCCCTCGGAGGCCTTAAGTCGGGCCCTGATAGACGAAAAAGGATACTTCAACCATCAGAAACTAACGAACATGGCGAAAGCGAGAAACGGGCCAAGCTTTAAATCATTTAATGTAATTAACCAAGTAAACAAGTAACCAAGTCTTAACATCGAAAGAAGCAACATGTCAATGAAATGTGGAAATCCCTTTGTCCAGCCAAAGATATCATTTGTAAAAACGGTAATTACAAAGGTCTTTTCGCAAAATTAAGTATAGCGAACAATAAAAGATCTAGTGTAATTATTGTAAATGACTCTGTCAATACTGAAAATTGCAAATACGTCCCGTTGGAAGATTCCTGGAGCAAAAACCAAGAAACTTAGAGAGTATTTAACATCTGGAACGAAAACGGTAAATGCGGCGACGAGGACTACTCAGTATTGAGCGTGAGGACAATTTACGACCAAAATGGATTGGAGTAGAGGAAATTATTAAATAAAGGACTCGGGTGGGAAATGATTGTAAATCTGAACATACCTGTAGATTCGGCCAGTCAATTTTTTAAAACAGAACGTGTTACTTGAGTTGAAAATACGATATTCCAACTTGAAGATACAACCTGTAGATAAACGTACGAAACAGGTGTACTGCGGTTTCACAGACAGCACAATTAAAATTTTGGGAAAATTAGTAGTCCGAACTCAATACAACTGGTGGATATGTGAAGAGACCCCTTTTTTATTACAGGAGGACACGAAAGAAATATCCCTGGCAAAGACAACTTTCCAAAAGTGGGAATAAAAGTGACACAGAATAAGTGTCCAGTGCCGATCTCTACAGTCAGTAGCCCATCGAGGAAGAGTAAGTCAAATACGTTAGAATTCTTGACAAAATTTTTTGCGTACTTCAAAAACCTATTTAATAGAATCGGCAAGATACCAATCGATCTTAAAGTTACAAATTTTCATTCCCCTCTTAATCTGGTTTAAGCAAAAGGCCGAAGAGTGCCGTTTCATTTTTTATCGGAAGTAAATGAGGAGCTAAAAAGGATGTAAAAAGAGGGCCATTTTTGAAAAACTCGAGAAATGCGACAAAGATTGCATGATAAGCCCAATCGTTATAACTAGAAAAAAAGACGGTTCAAGTAAACTCGCTTTAGATTCAAAACTACTGAATGTTCAGATTACCATACTGATTTTAAAATAAATGTCAGATGCCCAACATCCACGAATTGATTTCAAAAATGTAGCTTCAAAACAGTCAGAAAAGACCGTTACAGTCAACTCCAGTTATGCGTAAGGACAAGCAAACACTGCAATTTTAGTAGTGTAGGAGGAGATACTACTG